TTGTCGTGGTGAATCATAATAAAAAATGTTACGATTCAAATGTTATGATAATTAATTACAAATAACTATATTTGTTATGAGTTGTCATTATATTGTTATGATTTATAGTGTTTTTGTTATGACACTTTGGTGAATATTATGACATTATTATGATTCATTGTAATATTGTTATGATATGTGAAAAAAAGTTATGATTCTTTCTGTAACCTGTTACATGACCGGCTTAGTAGGTCACTTTTTATGATGTGGCACGATATGGACCACACAATAAGTGCATATCATATGCCCTTTTATAAGGTGCACATTGTAGACTTTCCCGTAGAATTATGATTTGAAAGTTCAAAACAAACAATACACTCAAAGCAATAGGTGAAACTATAATTTGAAACCCTAACCAAACGGAACCTAAATGATTCGGATCATAGAAACAAGACACAAAAAATGGGCCTAATGGGTCAGACTAGACAGGAGACAGCCTAGTTCCCGAAAAAAAAGAAAAAAACAAAAATAGAAAATTTCACTTTCGTCGTAATAGTAAAGGAGAAGTCATTTTTCTATTTCAAAATTAAAAAAATTAAAAAAAAAAAAACACTATTTGATGAACTTTTACGAAATTAATTTCGAATTTTTCTTAATGACAAATAACTTTTTAGAAGAACCGAAACTTCATAAATGAATATAGCTAGATTTTCCATTCCTTCTTTCTTCTTAGCAAAAAAAAAAAACAAACAAGTGTTTATCATGGTCACCATCATCTCCATGTACTTCAAACTAATAAAGCCAAGTCCTTCTAAGGTTGCCGTACAAAATCTATGCTCTCGTTTACATGTCAAGACGCGGTTATTTTGGTATGAATAGTGTACGTGTTTCCAAAAGTCATAAAAATACTTCTATGTATTTTTGAGAAAAAATTTGCTCAAAAAACGAAGGCTAGTAGGAAAGTGATGTGTTTGCAGACAAATAGAAATAAAAAAACACTGAAAATGAAAACACTAATATATTGTGTTCTGATTGGTCGTGTTGACTCATATATGCATACAAATCTTGGAGTTACCTTGCCTCCAAATCTTTTGTGGACCTTTGACCATGTGGAAATAGACTAGTTGAAATTATCTACGTTGTTAGGTTGTTTTTGATTTGGTCTTCTCTTTTGTCATTGAGCTAAGACAATATAATATATGACTTCAACAAAGCTTGTTAACATTCGATCATTATGATAAATTGCCCCATATTTGGGCTCTTATTTATTTTCCCAATAAATTTTATGTTAAAACTAGCAGCTACAAAGAGATATATGCATGTTTTGATGCATACAACAATTTGGTGTTGTCTTTCACTTTAACTTTGCATAACATTTGTGGTCAGGTTTGCAAAATCAACCTAGTTGAGCTGAGTAATACAGTGTTTGAACTTAATTCGTTTATTGATCAAAGCTTGGTTTGCATACATTTTATACTTCATCTTACATTCTTATATATAATCAAGATCAACTTCACCAAGAAAGAGAGAGATTACATTTATCATAGTCCGGCCTCAAACCTGGAGTATAACTAAACTGTCATCCTTGGTATATGTGTATTGTAATTATTATTAGCGAGTTACTCATATGTATTTTCTATGTGGATATTTTGATTAAATACCAATTAATGACACCTTTTATTTTAATGTTACCAAATGTTTTTTTGTTTTCAGTAATGATAGAGACCCCCACAACCTTCAAAATAATCTGAACCATTCATGTCACTGTTAGGTACAATTTTTAAAAAAAATTCAAACACACCAATGGTCAATACATCAGTAGGGATTGTGAGGATCCTCCTTTGTAGGGGTCCCAAACATTTTCCTTTAGTTTTTTTTGGTGCCCTTCTTTTTTTTCTGCTGTGTTTTTTTTTTTTTTTTGGGGGGGTGTGTGGTTGTTTCTGTCCAAGGGATGTAGTAGTAAAACAAGCCCAATCAACATGGGTGTCTAGCTCTGAGCCAAGCATAGTACTTGGATTACTTGTACACGCAGGGTTGAGTTGAGATGGCCCAAGTAGCTTGCAAATACAATTTTCATTCTGATTACTGGGCCAATTGCTGTAGAAAAAATATTAATAGATAAATTAAAAAAAAATTATGATTTTAATTATTAATATTTATAAAATTTATCACTTATATGTAATTTTTTTTCCTCTAAATTTACACTGAATTGTAATTCCAAAAAAAAAAAAAAAAACTACTCTATCATAATTTTGTATAAAAAAAATATTGTTTAATTCAAAATTACCAGGACAAGAGAAAACAAAATAAAGGTAATTGCTAAATTCTATAGCTAGTCACTCTCTCTCTCACGTGGTAAACTTCGCCTACATGCCCACACCCATGTAACAATGAAGTCCGTGCATTTAACAATCTCTAAAATAAAATTTCAAAATTACCAAAGCATGACCCAAGTTCTACATGACCTGAGATGGGGCCTTATACATATGTAAGAGCCGAAGGTCAAATGCTTGATCCACATGACACAAATCGATACTATAAGAAAGACACATGGACACATTAGATAAAAAAGAATTTAAGACCACTTCCAATTAAGTGCTCATCACCTATATGTACAAACGTTCATCTTGTCTCTAAGGTAAGTGTGTATAAGTGTAAGTATAAATATAGAGCATAGTGTGATAATAAGGAACTAACTTATTATTGAAGGGTTTTAACTAGGGCTGTAAACCAATCGAGCTGAGTCGAGCTTTGCTGAGCTCGCTCGGCTCGTTTACTTATCAAACTCGTTTATTGAGCTCAAACTCGGCTCGATAAGGAACTAGGCTCGAGCTTGGCTGGCTCGTTAATTTTAATGAAATTCAAGTTCAGCTCGGCTCGGCTCGATAATTTTTTTTTAATATTATTTATATTATTTAATATATAAAAAATGTATTTATATTTATTATTTACATATATTTATATATTATTTAATATATAAATAATATATTTATTATATAATTTAAATAAAGATAAACGAGCCGAGCTTAACGAGTCAAGCTTATGCGAGCTCGTGCTCGGCTCGTTTATAAGCTCATGCTCAGCTCGTTTTCTAAACGAGTAAGTCGATTTTATTCATGAACAGTTCGGTTCATTTGCAATCCTAGTTTTAACACTACATTATGTAACTAAGGCTTTTCTTTTATTTTAGGTAAGGTGAAGCTTGGATCGATCATTTACACAGAGAGAAAATTAATCAATGTGTTTGGTTTGAGTTTTCTGATTTAAGTTTTTTGAAATTTGACTTTTTTGGTTTTCGTATTGTTTTGTTTTTAGTGAATATTTTTTAAATTTTAAATTTTTTTTTTACTTTTTTAGATACACCTTACTTAGATGTATTTAAAAAGTAAAAAATTTATGAAAAAAATATTTTAAAAAATTAATAAATACATAAAAATACAAAAAAATATACTGAATTCTTGTATTTTTTTATATTTTTTGTATTTAGTGAATTTTTAAAAGATTTTTTTTTACAATTTTTTTACTTTTTAAGTGTATTTATGTTAGGTATGTCTAAAAAGTAAAAAAATTGCTTAAAATATTAAAAAAAATTAATAAAAACAAAAAAAAAAAAGAAAATAGAATTTTTTGAAAAGTATTTTTTAAAAAATGAAAATAAGCAAGGTGAATTCCTTTTATAGATCGTGATGCATTCAAACTTTAGAGTTCAATTCATAGAAGAATTGAAATTCCACAATACTCAAAATATCAATTTAGGCTAAGTTTGGGTAGTTTAAAAAGAGTCAAAAAGTCAAAAAGTTACTCAAAAAGTTAAAAAGTCATCACTATTCACCAAAAGTCAACAATTACGGCTGCACAATTCCCAATTCTAAACACCAAAAAAAAAAAAAAAAAAAAACAATTTTTGGGCCAATAGGAAGAGATCCCATTACCCTCACTGAGGTCTCATGCATTTTCCTAAATAAAATATTAGCATAACTCTTCGATTGAACTCTTAAGCTTTACTATAAAACTTAAATGTACAGTCACTTGAGTTACGCTGAAATGCTAACTTTGTAAAAATAATCATTTTGTTGAGTTTTTATTTTCAGAATTCACTTTTTAAAATATTATATTTTTTCATTTTTTATATATATTTTTTTGTTTTTACTGAATTTTTTTAATATTTTCAATAATTTTTTAAGTTTTAGACACATCTAATATAAATATACTTAAGAAGTATAATATTTGTAAAAAAATATTTAAAAAATTTATTAAATACCAAAAATATAAAAAAATACTAAAATTCAGTATATTTATTATATTTTTGTATATATATTAATTTTTTAAAATATTTTTTTGCAAATATTTTACTATTTAGATATATCTAAATAAAGTGTATATAAAAAGGTAAAAAAAATAGCTTGAAATTTTAAAAATATTCACTAAAAAAAATAATAATTTTTAAAAAATTAAATTCAAAAAATTAAAACCAAACACACTAAAAATAAAGATTGAGAACTCTAATTTTAAAACTTTAAGGAGAGCTCTAATGATGTTGGCAAGGAGTGAGACCTACATATGATGTGATGTAATGTGTGTGTCTATATACCTATTTTTTCTCTTATCACATCATTAAAACTTTCTTTACAATTCTAAAATTAAAACTATATGTCATTATTGAACACACAAAATAATGTTTTAAAATTTTATAAAAAAAACTACGCATTTTTTTTTTTTCCTTTTTTTCTTTTCGGGTGTGGGGGTGTGTGTTGATTTTGAAAGAGGCTTAAAATAGACCCAAGTTGAAAAATGCTTGGGAGCACTAATTGGTGCTCCCACTAATTAGGTGGCAGTGAGTTTCGTCATTAATGATATGATGTTTTAGTCTTAGAATTGTATTTTTTTTTTTAATATATTAGTGCTATTAGTGGTGATATTTTTAATGGAATGAATCATTGTTGACCCAAGTTACGCAACCAAAAATAAAATATTTTGAGTAAACAATATATAAAAGGGCCCAAACCAATCCTGATCCAAATTCAACCACACTCATACAGTCCCACTAGGGTTTTTAAGACTTGTACTACGCAACATACACTTATGTCTGCCGCTCCGGCTAGGGTTTACAGACCCCCCCAATTTCTGTCTCTCTTTCTCTCTCTCTAAGTTTATTGTTGTTGTAAGATCTAATTATGGAATTAAGCAATAACTAGGGTTTCCTGGTTGCTTCTGAAACTCCAAAAGCTTCGAGCTTTTACATCGCTGTGTATCTGTAAAACCATATATCGAACTATATAACAATGGCGACCACAAACCCCTTTGATCTTCTCGGTGACGATGACAACGACGACCCCAATCAGCTCCTCCAGAAGCTCCCTCCCCCGCCGAAGAAAGCCCCAGCTCCGGCTCAGTCCGCCGCCGCTACTCAGCCGGCTAAGCTGCCCTCCAAGCCTCTCCCTCCAGCTCAGGCCGGTAAAGCCTCTGATTTAGACTCTCTCTCTCTCTCGCTTCGTTTCCAAATCATATGCTTAAGATCGATGTGTTTGTGTATCTGTATGTATATGTGTTTTTATACAATATAAATGTGTATATATCGTGTGTTATGTTTTGATATATGGTGGAAATGGAATGAAAATGCAATTCAGATTATTGATGTTCATCTTTGAATAAAAAAAGTTGTGTTTTTGGTGTGAGGTTGCTGAGAAAATGGAGGAAATTAAAAGATTTGATTTCATGAAGAGGAGATTTAGAATTCTCATATATGTTATTTGCAAAATTTTCTACAGATGCTTTACAGGAGGTAGAAAAAAATAAAAGAATACATTTGGATGTAATGTATTCATGTTCTTTGATATTGCCAGCATTGGACTTTTACAGATTCTACCATGGTTACCATTACAATTATGGTAGTTTCTGAAATAAAGTATCTTGGTACATTATCATTTTCTGAAATGAAGAATAGATTTACTGGTGGATCTTGTGCTTTATTTAGTACTTAAAGTCATCCAAAAGAAAGGTTCCTGTTTCATTTTTTTATTTTTTTTCCTTTTTGAAAATGTTTCTGAATTAGATCTTTGATTAGACAGTCATACAAGCTGTCAGCAGCTCTTCCTTTATAAATCTGGTTATAAAAATCTTGCCTTTCATTATGTGTATATTTTCTTCCACCATCAATTATCTTGAATTATAGCTTACGGAGTGGAATTGAGGTGTTTTCCTTTTTTGGGTGCAAATACCTTGCCAAATAAACTTGGATATGTCTTCTTATTTGCAATTTATACAGACCGACTCACTTTCTTTATTTTTTCTTTTTATTTTGTGTAGTGAGGGAGGCAAAGAATGACAACCCTCGTGGAGGGGGCCGAGGTGGTGGTCGTGGATTTGGGCGTGGAGGACGTGGTGGAGGTGGGTTTAATCGAGATCTGGCCAATAATGAAAGTACCTTCAGCAGTAACAATGGTTTCTCTGGAGGGTACAAGCCCGCAGAAGATGGAGATGCAGGGAAGCCCTTTGAAAGACGTGGATACAATGGACCGCCTCGTGAGGCTCGTGGTGGTTTCCGTGGTGGTCGTCGTGGTGGTTTCAACAATGGAGAAGAAGTAGAAGGTGAACGTACTCGGAGAGTATTTGAGCGCCGTAGTGGCACCGGACGTGGGTTAGTATCTTGATAAAATTAGTCAACTTTTATAAAACAGTATTTTCTTATACCTTCTTTCTATAGTGTAAATTATATATATTGTAATCTACTAGCCGTATTTATATTATATGACTTTTAAATTTTATATGGTGCTCTGCAGGAATGAATTCAAACGTGATGGTGGTGGTAGCAGGAATTGGGGAACTCCCACTGATGAAATTGCTCCGTGAGTACTTATGTCTCAAGCTTTATCTTTTGATTTTTTTTTGAGGAAAAAGTTTTATGTTTTGATTGGGGCTCATAATTTCATTTTAAATGAGTATGATTTATGTGTATCTATTTGTCAAAAACCTGTTGCTCCCTTTTGCAAAATTTAGGGAGAGTGAAGAACCTTCCAAAGAAAATGAGAAGAATGTGGATGCTGAAAAGCAATTGGGACAGGAAGATACTGCAGATGCCAACAAGGAGAATCCTGTGAATGATCCCAAAGAGAAGGAGAAGGAGAAGGAGCCTGAGCCTGAGGATAAAGTGAGTATCTTGTTTGAAAATGTTAGATACCCTTGCTTAAATAGTCATAGGTGTTCGCAGTTCAGTTGCGACTAGGGAACCTCCAATCCGCCATTCTTATGCCGGATTGGCGGATTGAAAAAAATCAATCCACATCCATTCGCTGGATTGGCGGATTGATACGAATCATTTTGGCGGTTTAAATTTTCACAAATTTTGAACATAATATAACAACTTAGTTATCAAAAAAAAAAAAAAACATATTACAACAACTTGTCAATATTATTTATTTTTCAGATAACAATCCAACTCAACGTAATCAAAAGATTATAAAGTAAATTGTCAAATATCAATAATAAATACATATAAGAAAATCATGCATTATCAAAACTATTTCATTACTTTTTTTTATTCAAAAACTATCTAATTTGATTTTTAAAAAAATGACAAAATTAAACGTTATATTTTCCACACAAAAATACCAAATATCAACACTTGTCATTTGATAAAAGGATTTCTAAATTGAAAACATAACAGAATATTTAAATTCTTTTTCAATTGAAAACACAAATAGAATATCTAAACAAATTGAAAATACAAAGTCTTACAAATTACTAGGGGTGTTCGTGGTTCGGCGGTTTGGCGGTTAGGTTGTAGGCCAAGGAACCTCAAATCCGTCATCCATCCAAAACTAGGCGGATTGGAAAAAATTAATCTGCAATTGTCTGCTCGTCATCACGCATCCGTTCAAAATGCGGCAGATCGGTTCGGCTCGATTGGTTTGGGCGGATTGGAATATCCGTTGAGCACCCCTCACATCTTCATTTCCTTAAGTGTCTTTTCGTGCTCGAAGTGTGTAGAAAGAAAAGGAGAAAACTTATAATCCTACAACTGTTTATTTTGGATATAATAGAATTTTGAATTATTCTCTTTTTATCTCTTTGGAAACCCTACAAAGCATATTGTTTGATCCGCTGAACATTGTAAAGTACAAAGTTCTTATCTTATTGCATTAGCTCCGAGTAACGGACCTAGGTCAAGCAACAGGAGGTTTCAGCAGGTTGGCTTGAAGGTTTTATGGATGTATAAAGAATCAACTGTTCATGAATGGGCATTTATTCTGGGTTAAGAACTCTAGCATTTTAAACTTTTTGGGAGCCTCAAACAAGAATTGTTCTAGTAATTCATTTTCCCTTCATGTGCTGCAGGTGTATATCTGGTTCTTACATCTTTTCAGATTACATTGATGTTATTTTCCCCGCCCCGCCCCACCCCGCATGGATTTTTCCCGCCTTGATTAAGAGGATATTTATATGTATATAATTTATTTATTTTTCATTATAATAAAGTTAAAATACTAAAATATTATACTTAATATTAATTTTTATTAATTTATTTTCTATCTTATATAATATAATTCTCATTAAGTATAAATTATTATTTGTGTTGTATTATCTACGTTCTGTGACTAGGTGATTAGTATGTTTGGTGTGCAAGTTTCATGTAATTTGCATTCATTCAAATCAGAGCCCCTTGGATATGCATTCATTAAATTCTAGTTAATTATGTTTTTCTTCTTCTTCTTCTTCTTCTTCTTCTTCTTCTTCTTTAAATAAAATAAATAAATATAAATAGGAGATGACTCTGGAAGAGTATGAGAAGGTGCTCGAGGAGAAGAGGAAAGCATTGCTAGGACTGAAGTCTGAGGAAAGGAAGGTCATTGTTGACAAAGAATTTCAATCAATGCAACTGCTTTCAAACAAGAAGAGTGATGACGAGATCTTTTTGAAATTGGTGAAACCCATTAACAATGCTATATTTTAATTAATGATATTCCTTCTATCAATTTATTAGGCTTTGTTGCTAGTATATTGAATGTGTTGCATAATATGCATTTGATTGATTGTCAGGGTTCTGACAAGGATAAACGCAAAGATGCTGCTGAAAAAGAAGAGAAAGCTAAAAAGGTATACTTCATTTTAACTTCTGATTAGTTACAACTTACTTTGGCCCTTGAGATTACTCTGCTGCTTATAATTTTTGGATAAATTACATTGAAACCCGCCAAGTTTTGCCTTTGATACAAATTCTTCCCATTTCAAATATTACACTACTCCTAAAAGTGTTTGTATTTTAACGAAAGTGACAAGAAACTTGTAATACCCTCAACTGCAAGGGTTAAATTGCTTTATTACTCTCCATATCCACCAAATCTTCTTTCATCCCAGACTGAAACCCACCCAAATTAAACACTATCTATTCGCTAACCCTTCTCTCTACCTCTTTCTCTTTGGAATTTTCTTCTTTGCATTATTAAATCCATTGATTCATATTATATACATATACATACATACTAATTTAGTATGGGGCATTAATTTTTTGCATTGATAGGTTCTTATGTGTGTATGTGTATATATGTATATATGAATACGAGATACATATGATCCTCATGATGGTTTCCGGTGAACAGAATTTAAGGATCCACTTTTATCATTTTTATCAGAGTTTTCTAGTGAACAACACAGTTTTTGTTTCATAGTGTTGCTTGTTGCCCTTGACCTCATTTGAAGGAGATAATTTCTTCTCATCAGATTTAGAAGTTTCTTCAAGGTATAATCTTTAGCACCACACACCAATCTAAACCCCCAAATCTCATTCATAGGTAGATATATTTTTAATATATTCACACAGATTACTCCAAATAATCAAAAATCCAAAACCCACAAAAACCATCAAACCAAAAAAATCATTAATAGTCCAATCTCAATTTTTCTAAAGCAAAAGAATTCACTAAGTGAAGGCAATTCATATTTGTGCCGGCATGATGAGGGTGCTGGTCATGATGATTGAACAAATCAAACTTCTACCTGTTGTAGTATTACCAGTGGTGTGAAGAGAGACACAAGCCAAAGATGAGGCTACTACAGAAGTTTGTTTTTGTTGGACAAGAATAATTTTTGTTCCGTTTTCCAATATAGTGAATCCCATATTCTACTCTTCCTAATGGTCTCAGTTTCTACAAAGCAAATTATTGCTTTCTGTAGTTATGGAATGTTGTGTTGGATTGGTAATACTATGGGGTCCACATGGTTCTCACATGTTTTTTATTGCCCCCAGTAACACGTTTGATTGGGAAAAATGGGCAGGGTTGGTTGTCAAACTCTCAAAATCGTGGTATTATATAATCTTGTCAAAATCGTGGTACAATGACTCCTGTGGTATATATAATTCCGTCTCTTGTTCTATGTATTACTAACCTCAACCTTTATCCTGCAGTATTACCTATTCTAAAATATGCCAAAAATTCTAATCTGTGTATCAAACATGGCCTATCATGTGATTCTGTATGCTGGTATGTGTACAGCTCTTCAATTCTAGTCTGGTAGTTTCATTGGGTATAAACCAGCTGCTATGAATGTTAAGGTTTCTTTGTTACTCAATTATGTTCAGTAAGAACCATCCTCCTCAAAATTAGTTTCCAATTTCTTTTAATATTTCGGATTAGCAATTAATGATATTGTCAAATCATATTTTGCATAGTATTGTGAATTTCTATGAAATTGCTTGGTGCCAATTTCTTTATTCATACATGTATTTGACTACCTTTTTTATTGAACTTCGTTTTAAACTGCCTTTTGTTCTTGGTGCAGTCTGTCAGCATAAATGAGTTTCTGAAGCCTGCTGAGAGGGAAAGAAATCACGGCTCGGGAGGTCGTGGTCGAGGTCGTGATCGTGGACCCAGAGGAGGATTCAGTGGAAGTGAACGCCACATGTCATACCATGTTTCCGCCCCATCCATCGACGATATTGGGCAATTCCCATCCTTGGGTGCCAAGTGAGGAGATTCGCCTCCTCCCCTGCCTTTCTCAATCGCTTTGGATTTTTTACCTTTTTCAGATCTTACAGAGGCAGGGATATCCATTGGAATAATGTGTTCTGTATTAAAAATTATCTTTAATTAAACTTTCTTACATCCAAAGAGTGTATATTTAAGATCTCTCTTTGTTGGGTTTATGCCTGTGGTGGTACACCCTTTCTTTATTTTATATTTAGGGTTTTTAGGATCTTACTTTTATCTCTGGGATTATGTTATTGAATCAGTTTTGATTTCGGAGTCAATTGAGAAACAATTTTGGTTCTGCATTTTTTTTTTTGGGGGGTAGATTTCACCATTGCTTTGAGAAAAGTTTCATTTGGCTTTTATTTCTGCATTCAGTGCTTCTGTAAATCTCTAGGTATTTTATCCTATTGTTTTAAGAATAGTGTGATCATTACTAAAAGAAAATATGGATAAATTGATCTTACGGGTGTCTTGGGATGGCCACATTGAAATTCCTGTCTTGATAATTTTTGTTCCCAAGGGCATTCAGAATGCAAAATGCCCAACTGGTTATCACTTAAAATTTCGCAAAGTAACAAAAAGTTTCCACTTCGTTAGTCTTGATTGCCCTTTCTGTGTATATATGGTTAGCGTAAAAATTAGCATAAAAATTTCATAAATATTTTTTTTTTTTGGGCAAAATGAAATAGCCAAATCTATAACATTGTTGAATTATTCAACCATCTTATCCATGTAGAATATGAATGAAGGAAAAAGAAAAATGATACAACAAAGACGAGAGAAATAACAAAATACCCACCTTGTACCAATGACCAACACCCTACTATTAGGGAACCCAATCATACCAGCCCTTCTTCGTAAAAGCTGAAGTCAAACTCTAACATACGCTTCAAAATAATTCTCATATTATTACCTTGAGCTTAGATGCTTGGCAATGGCCCCGTTTAGTAGAATTATGAGAAAGGAATTATAACTTATATCTTATCAATTTATAACTTATAAGTGTGAGTTGATTTTTGACTTATAAATTAAGTTTCTCCTCTCTCATTCAAAGAATAAGTTGATTTTTAACTTACAAAAAAGCTATAGGCTATATTATTAAACTGAATCAAAAATATCATAATAACTTAAATTAAGTTAAAAATTGAAATAAACTCTACCAAACAGGGCCAATAAATACTTGCAAATCTGTAGATTTTTAGTTGCAGGGTTCGGTAACTGGAGAGGAATTACTCTCTACTCCAAATCTCCTACCAAAAAACCAAAACCACCCAAAATTTAGGATAAGGAAAAGATGACATGCATTCAATACCCGTCAATCTCTTACTCATCAATAGCTAAATAATTGAGAGGATATTTTCACTTTGAGAGCAATATGCAATAGATAGGAGATAGACAACAAAGACAATTATATGCTTTTCACCAATATTCCTACTTTTGTACAAATGTTTGTTTAAAATCAAATACATTGAAAAGAATGGAAGTTTTAACAGAGTGAGGGAACAACGGACAAGCGAAGCAAATCACGACAAGGGAACGTTCTTGCTCACATCAAAGCATTAAGTGAAAGTAGTTTTACATGCGATGGCCCGCACACATGTAGGCGACAAATATTTTTCCACTTCAAGAAGAGCAGCAACCAGACTTTTGGTTGACTGGCTGTCCTCGGATCTGAACTGTTGGGGGCCTTGCATTGTTCATGGATGGTTGGCTTGCCATCCTGTAAAATAGAAAGTAAACACAATCGACCAGCATTAGGAGAGACGTGCACAAATTATTGGCTTTATTGATCAAAGAAAACTAAAACATTTTTTCCCTTTTCATATGTTCGTATGCCGTTTGATATGTTTACAGTTTATTATTATTTGTTTACATAAAACATTGAACATGTATACATTTTATTTTTGAAAAAAACAAAAAACAAAAAAATTGTCTAGCATGTGTTTCAAAAACTAGTTTTGAAAACAAGGGAAAGGGGCACCCAAAGGTGGTTGTCAATAGTCAAAGTGGTGACCGACAGGTGGTAGCAGGATGCAGGAAGTGGTGGCTGAAGGTGGTTACCAAATGTCGGAAATGTTGGCTGGCAGCTGGAGGTGGTGATCAGAGGCGGTTTCAACAAGTGGTTGTGGTTGTGGTCGATGGTGGTTGTGGTCGACAGTAGTTGCAGCAGGTGGAAGGTGGTGGCTGGAGGTGGTGGTGGTTGGAGGTCACCAGCAGCGGTAGTCGAAGGTGGTGGTGGCTGATGGTGGTGACAAGCAGTTGGTGGTGGATAGAAGGGATGGGAAAGGAGGAATTAACGGGTTTTTTTCTTCTTTTTTTTTTTTCCTTTCTAATTTGAAAACAAGTGAAACCAACTTGTTTGTACATACAAGAATTTAGTAAATTTTGTAAACTTTCACAAGATTTTGAAAACAAAAATATATAGTACATGAATTTTTGTTTACAGTTTTCAAATTTTTTGTAAATATATGAACATAAATGTTACCGAACAGGCACTCCCAAGTTTTAATTTTCCTCGCTGAACTACTGCAACAAGGTGTAAATGTATAGTACCTGTTCTTGATCTCAGCAGCCATGGCCATGAAAGCCTGTTCCACATTGGTGGCATTTTTCGCACTTGTTTCCAAGAAAGGAATCCCAATTTCATCTGCAAATGCCTGCACAAAATAAAAACAAAGTCGCATTAAAATCTACAGTCCTTGTATGAGTAATAGAGATCTGCTATCAATGAACAAAAAACAAGATACGAACTATATTAGCATTACCTTTCCAGTCTCATAAGACACCACCTTCTGTGCAGTAAGGTCACACTTGTTTCCAACTAGAAGCTTGTTTACATTCTCACTTGCATACCGGTCAATTTCACTTAACCATTGCTTGACATTGTTAAAACTCTCTTGATCGGTCACATCGTAAACAACCTGACAACAAAACCACCAGAATAAGATTAAATCCACACATAAAAAGCAAACTCAACAACAAGACAATTCAATGCTTACAATAATGCCATGTGCACCGCGATAGTAACTGCTAGTGATTGTCCTAAAACGTTCTTGTCCAGCAGTATCCCACTGCATGTCCAGAGAAAAGAAGAAAGATAAGAGTTGTTAGCAAGAAAACAATTTACAGAAAAACAGGGGACACCATGTTGAAGAAAACATCACAATAAATTTTGGCTAAAAACAAAATTGTCATTTAATTAACATATAATCTCAAGAATGTGAATTCTCCGGATTTCATTTCGAATAAAGCTATCCTTCAAATTTTTACAGAAATTAAGCATACTTTTATGCAAAATTTCCATCCTACGGCAAAGAAATGTTTATATGGCATTCCATATTTACACAGATTCCCAATCAAATGCTAAATCAAAGCTGAAACTGAAATTTACAGCTTTCATAGACAGAACAAACTAATAACGCACTTAAAACTTACAATCTGGAGTTTAATGGTTTTCCCATCCTGCTCAACTGTGCGGATTTTCTGCAGAAGAGAAAATAAGAATAATTTACTACTTTACAATCTATGTTAAGGTAATCAGCAACCCAAACCAAGGGAGATAAAAAAAGATTGCTTACGAAGTCAACTCCAATAGTGCTAATGTAACTTTCCAGATATGAATCATCCTGATTACAGAAATAATAAAAATGGTTAATGAACTTGGCATCTGTCTAGAGGCCACATTTGTCTGGAGACTAGAAAACATTGAAAAATAACACAATCACATCAAAACAACATGGCTAATTAAAGCAATTTTGAAAAAGAAAGAAAGAACAGAAATGGAGGGGGGGGAAAGAAGAAGAAGAAGCTATGTAAAAGAGGGAGAACTTACAGCAAACCTCAAAAGGAGACATGATTTGCCAACACCCGAATCTCCAATGAGCAAAAGCTTAAAAAGGTAGTCGCTGCAAATAAGGAAAAAAAAAAAAAAAAAAGTGGAAATAATGTTTGTATCAATGTTGGAAAGAACACAGGAAGAGAAAATATTTTCTTATAATTTCTCCACAAAAAATTAAAATCAATGTGCAAGACCACCCTGTTCCCACAAGTGAATAAAGTAAATTGAAAGCTTAAGAGACTTATAAAATTATTCATAAACGATAATACACACACACAAGCATTTTGTGTTTCTGGTCATAAATATTACTACCTCTAAAAGTACAAGAGGGTTTCCAATCATTACAACTCTACAGTATTATCTATGCTCATGCAGAAAGGGTGAATAATTAATCAGTTAACAATTTAGAAAGGACATTGATAAAAGAATAATCCGCCACACTTGCTTGCATGCATAATGAGACAGCAGATGCTCAAATTTACCAGTAACCTCTATGAATGCAATGTCATTGTATATATAGAAATTATACATCAAATCATAAACAACTCTCAAGCACCCAAAACACAGATCAAACAGTGCATAAATTCAACAATATCATATTTTTTTCTGGTCATATAAATGCTTTATAAACCATACTCCAAATGTATGACCATTCAGATTCTTTCTTTTTTTTCATTTTAAGTTAAATGCATAAAGGATACATGGACAAGGTAAACAAGTGGATAATTGAACGAACACACAAGTGTAATAACTAATTGCCAGTTGCTACAAGTGGTACAGATGCCCTTGCTAATGACAAAACCCTAACCAATTGTAGCTTCAGTCTGGCATGTCTTCATAGTTGAATCAATCATCTCATATATTATATTGACTGTAATGAAGATTCTACAAAAATATTTGTCGACTGATATACATATGCACCTACAAATTTTCCAATAATTAATTAAGTGCAGGAAAAAAAAATTTGTTGTCCTCAGATAAGAACATTTTGAAAAGCAAAACTTGTATCTCATAACTGGTTTGATAATGGTTTTGAAAAGGGCATGCATTTTAAGATACAGATTTGATGCAGGTAAATCTCAGTTGAAGTGGTTTTAAAATTCATTATAAATTAAAATTTCACTCTTAATCTTTTCTGTCTTGCTCAATTTCAGCAGCTAGTTTAGCACTAAAACTTTGAGCATCAAACTCTCAGGCTGAGTGGTTTGCCTTTGGAATCATGATTCCAAAGGTAAAATTTACAAATCATTTTCCAAAATTCATAACCAAACACACAACTCAAAATTACTTAAAACTTAATTGAAAAATTAATTTCAAAACTCATGACCAAATCCACAACTCAAAACTCAATTCAAAACTTTTTTCAAAACTCAAAACCAAACTCTTTTCAAAATACTATTTTAAAAGAAAAAATTCAAAAAAATATTTTTTTTTTCAAAATTATTTTTAGATTCATGATTTGAATGTGGAATTGTATTTTGAGTTATAAGTTTTGAAAAGAGAAAATTTGTTTGATTATGAGTTTTGAAAAGAGTGTTGAGTTGTATTTTAAAATTTTTTGGATTTATTTTTTAAAAATATTTAAAAAATTTCTTAATCTTATTTTTTTTAGGGTAAATATTTTATATTTTAATTAATTTATTTATTTTAATGTGCGTTATATTTCTTATATTTATGTGATGTATTTTTTTAATATTAAAAAAATTATTTTTTTATTTTAAATATATAATTTTTATTTTAAATATTTTTTTATTTTTTAGATGCACTTTATAATTTAAAATATTAAAATTAAAAATTAAAATATTTACAAAATAAAATAAAATGTTTAAAATAAAATAAAATAAAATAAAATTAAATTTATATATTTAAAATAAAAAATAAAATTTTCTTAAATATTTTAAAAAAATAAATTCAAAATACAACTCAATTTTTTTTTCAAAACTCCTTTCAGAACACTTTTTAAAACTCGTAACCAAACAATTTTTTTTTTCAAAACGCAACTCACAATTCCACACTCAAGTCATAATTACAAAAAAAGACTAGCAATTCCAAAACTAAACCAAACGCAACCTTAGATTTGTCAAAACAACACCTAGACAACTCCGTTTGGGAAGTGGGTTGGCTTTTTGGCTTTTTGGCTTTTTTGGCTATTAAATTTATATATTTAAAATAAAAAATAAAATTTTCTTAAATATTTTTAAAAAATAAATTCAAAATACAACTCAATTTTTTTTTCAAAACTCCTTTCAGAACACTTTTTAAAACTCGTAACCAAACAGTTTTTTTTTTCAAAACGCAACTCACAATTCCACACTCTTCATAATTACAAAAAAAGACTAGCAATTCCAAAACTAAACCAAACGCAACCTTAGATTTGTCAAAACAACACCTAGACACTATATTCTCTAATTTCTTCTTAAAAAACAGTAGCCAAAAAAAATTGTTACAAGAATAAATCTGAGACAGTCAAGAGCATCAATAATCCACCAGTAACTAATTATCCCCACCTATTTTCATAGTGTTTTCTCAACGCAATAGTCAAAAAATATATTCCAAGCATTCAGGCAGGCTTCATATAAACCCAAAATACAAACTTTTCAACGATTTCAGCTAAATTTCACAACTATATAAAGTCAAAAACTGTTGGTCCAAAGTACACCAAGTTCTTAGCCCCTGGCCTAAAGGAAAAAATAAATTATCAGGCTTTTCCAATTTCTCCCCAAATTTTGGTCAAAGTTCTCAAATTTACAGACTTTTTTTTTTCTCTTTTTTCTCACGGAGATTTACCATCCAAACGAGATCCACAGTACGAAAAAGATCTATATTGCCTATAAATACAATCAATTAATCTAATCCAAAGCATTCACAGTTCAAAAACCGTTCTTATAGCTCGCGAATACAAAGAATTCACAGAATTAGGGCTCTTGACCACACCAAAACCCAATTGACCAAAACCAATCAATAGATCTGAATCCAGATCACGCAGAAGTAAATGAATCACATCAAAACAACACCAAAAGCCTAATTATAAATTTCTCAACAAATTCACAGCATATTCATGATGAACAGTTACAGATCTAAACAAATTTTTATCTCATGACAACAAATACGAAGAAAACAACGAAAAGTATAAGCAAAAAAAAATCGAATTGTCCAGACTTACTATTCAGGGTTCATGGCTGTGGTGTGTCAAGATCGATCGATCGATCGTTAATGATGCGGAGGATGTGCCGGAGATTTGTGTTTTTCCGACAAGTATTCACCAGAATTCGTGATAACCGCCTCAACGTAGATAGAGAGAGAGAGAGAGAGAGAGAGATTGGAAATAAAGAGAGAAGTTCCAAATTCTTTTTAAAGAGCTCTATTTATTAATTAGACACAAAATGGAATTTGCTGCGAAAGGGGTGACGTTGCAAATGACCAAGACTTCTTGCCACGTGTTCTGCATTGTGGTATAATTTTTTTTTTATTATCTAGCGTAAATTATACTTTTTTACCGGCCTATTTTAAAAAATAAGAAAAAAGTTAATTTTTAAAAATTTTTTTAAATGTGCAAAAATAAAATTAAAAAGTAATGTGACTCAAATAAATTAATAAAGTAATAAGTTGCAGTTCAAAAAAAGTAATAAGTTGACTTTTTTTTCTTAATTATCAAAATAGACTTAAAATAAGTGTTTTTTCTTATTTGGTCTTTAAAAAAAATAATTTCTCACTTTTGACCCTAAAATATATGTTTTGTTTCGCTTTCATTTAATTACTAATAATGATATGAATGTTTTTTTGACAAAAATACCATGTGGCACAAGAGTGGCCTTGTCCAAAACATTGGATGATTTATATATAAAAATTACTTTTAAAAATATAAAAATGTTGTCCAAAATAAACGTTTATAATGTGTAAAAGATTTGTCATCTCACATTTTACACCCATTGTCTTAATTGGTAGCATAGGCAATGAGTGCCCTGCCACGCTTGACTGTGACAATCAACATCTATAACCCATTAATATATTGCGTTATCTCTTTTCAACACATTCTATTGCGATTTCCTTCCACAAGTCATCTCTCATCTCTTCTCATCAATTCATTCCTAACATTGTCACCACCACCTATAAGCTACCATGAACTTACTATCGTAAACCTACAAATGCGATTCTTAATTCTAGAGGTATTCCCAACTCGAGAGGGAGAAAGAAGGGAATGGTGAAGGTTTGGTGGCTCAAAGGTGATGGTGTATAGAGAAAAATATGCGTAGAAAGAGAGAATGATGGATGGTAAATATTTGATGGTTTAGAAGTGGTAAAGTGGTGGGGTTGGAAAAGAAGGACAATCTTGGTATTTTATAAAAAATATTGTCTCAACTTAACCCTAAACCCTACTGACAGTAGGCAATTGCAACAAATTGAAAAAAGTCTAATCGATTAGAATCAAAGTGGAAAAAAATAATCATTTTAGGATCAAATTGAGAAAAGTTTTATAATTTAGTGGTGAAAATGCAATTTAAGCATTCATATATCAAAGTGGGCTTATGTATGTTGTGAGTAGTGACATATTTAAGCATTTCTAGGTAGTTATTGTCTGTAGGTCCTGCACAGTGCACAAAAATTCTGTTTGCATATAAGGTTCATTTGCAGCAGATTTTGAGAAGAATTTTAGTGGAAAGATTCTTATGCTGCTTTTTGTTCTTTCTGAAATATTAATACTCAAATAGGATGCTAATTTTGCTTTAAATAAAAAATAGTATGCTAATTTTTGTTCTTTTTCAATTATAAACTAAAAAATGTTTATGAATACAGAAATCAATTATAAAATCGAACATGAGTACTCACTTACATTATCAATTTAAGATGATTATGAGTGGTAAATGTGTGGGACTTTGTTTGGACAAACATAGAGATATAAATTGCATTTTGCCAATTATGTACTTGCCAATAGTAAATTAATGTTTCCTTGAGTAAATTAAAGCTATTATTGTAAGTGGTAGTCACTTAAAACCACTCATGACCTAATCATTAAAGCTTTTTATGTTTTTGTTAATTTTACTAGAAAAATGCATAACCATCATAATGCTCTAGTAAGTTGTTATATATTTAGGATATTAGGGGTTCGATTTTCCTACTAATACATGGGACTTTGCTTCCTGGTATTGATTTTTTTGATCTTTTTGTATTTTTTTGTTTGTGACGTATGATTTTTTTTAATTACGTATTCGTTGTATGATCTAGCTTTGTGTTGAAACTTTTTTTTAGTTAAAATTTTAATTTAATTCTCATCATATTTGTAATTTATATATATATACATCACAAACAAATTGAATTGTGACATTGCTACGTGTGTAGCCTAGCCATGTATGAAATGCCAGGTTCCAAAGCTGGAAGATTTTTTTAAAAAAAAAATGAAAACACCCGAGAAGGGTAAAAAGTAAGCAACTTAAAATACTTTCTCCACCAAACCATCTTTCTTGTAAAAAAGAAAACGATCCTTCATTGCGACTCTTAGAATGTGAATACGAAACCTTATAGGCTTTGTTCACATTTTTAATTACATTTTAAAATTTATTAAGTTTTCAAATCAAATTTGAAAAGTTTTACTATTCTATTTGATTAATTTATATGTTGTTGGCTGTATAAATTATAAAAGTCAATCACAATTCAACACGTAACATGAAGGAGGCAATTTAGGGAGTTAATATAAGTTGTCAATCAAAGTCAGACACGTGTCAATCCGTATTGATAATAATGGATTTGCGTAGCACTGAAACAATCAAGGAATATAAGGTGATATGGCCTAACGGTTACTCACAAAGTTCAAATTCAAAATCAGGAGGAAAGTGTAACTGCAAATGTGGCGTAATGGGACTGACTATGAGAGAGCATGTTCAGCAATCATAGGAGGGCATTTCTACGGTTAGAAGCTCACTTCGACAGTTATCATTGAGAAGTATAAATAGTAGAGAAGGCCCTAAAATAAGGATCCAAACTCAGATCAAAAAACCAATTTTATTTACTTTGTTTTCCCTTCTAGTTTTTACAGATAAATTCTTGTATTGCACTTCATTCATAGGAGTAGTTTTAAAGAGTTTGTTGCTGTAAACCTCTATAAGACTAGGTCAAATCCTAATTATACGGAAATGCCTAATGCAACACATGCAAAAGTGCAACTATAGCAGGCTCGGCTATTCTAAACATGGCATATGAAATACTACAGCTAACATGTATTTAATTTGGAATTGAAAATACAATGCAGTTAGTATGATGCGCTGAGCCCGGTGCATGCAAAACAGATAAATGAATGCAAACATGCTATCATACTGTATGCTAATTGAAACATGCCCTAATCTAACCATCATAAGCGGGTAAATAAAAGGGAAAAAGGCGTGGGGTTGGAAGACATACATCACACACACGCACACTTATTACAGTTGTGCCCTCGCGCAGAGGTTCCGAATAAATAAGTACAGTCCCAAATAAATACAGTCCGAATAAATAATACAGTCCAAATATATACAAAACCCTAATTAATTACCAAATTAACTAAGAAAGCAATAAACTGGCATGCAAGCCAGGGACTGCCTTGACTCCGCCCCGGATGATGAATGATGCATGCTCAGGTTGCCTTGCGCGGAAATCCACGGCGATGCCTCGATTAGCCTCTGTTTGCAATTTATTCTTGGAATACGTGCCAAGCTCTGGAAGGCTGCTGATTCTTGATTTGCTGCAACAGAGAGCAAGAAAGGGGCATGGCAATGTATTTTCACAAATGTATGCATGCCTCGATCCTCGTACCACCAATCACGCATCTCGAAGCATGATGGCCGAGGAGTCGAATTGTGCAACTCAATATAGAATGAATGCACATGAAAAACACAACAGGGCCTAAACTCCATCATAGATAATCCGGAGTGTCGGCGACCGGAAATTAAGACACGTTCCGTCACTCGCAGTACGAAACGTCCCTCGTTTCCCGTGCTCGGGCTAACTCCTATCCCAAACACGATGCAATATGCATGATATGCATGAAATGCAACTAAGATACAACCTAACATACACAATGCTATGAAATGGCATACACGATGCACGAGGTAGCATGGCATACATAATGCTCTAACATACAACCTAGCATACACAATGCTATGAAATGAAATGGTATACACAATGCAATATGAGCTTATACCAACATGAGTGGACCTCAGCCACACTCACATAAGAGGCCATTAGATGAAAATGAGACAACTCGAGATGCGTGCACGCGTGCACGCAAATCGAGGATCGATCCTAAGGCACGAAATGCCACTCTAACAAGACATGGCAAAACACGGAATATGGCATATTAGCATGCAAATTTCAGAGGCAATAAGTGATGCAAAACAGCCCCGAAAGATGGGAGAGGGATAAAAGACTTACCCTTGAAGACCAATGCTTCAAAAACTCTTGGTTTGAAAAAAGGTGCTCCTTGCCTCTGGAAAACCAGCTCCAAGTGTTGGAAAGGATGGTGGGGAGGTGGTGCTATGTGGTGGTGTAGAAAGGGGCCAAAAACAAAAAAAAAACAAAAAACAAAAGGGTTTTGATGCTTGGAATATAGAGAGAGAGAAATTAAATGTAGGAGGCTTAAACAAAAAAAATTTTCACCCAAAATTCAGCTGGAGCTGCTGGTTTTATAGAGGGAGGAATGGAGGAAAAGGGGGGAAAAATGGGGGGGGGGAAATCAATTCAAATTTCCCTCCAAAAATAGGCCTAAAAGAGAGATAAAGTGGCAAGTGGTAGCTGCTGGCCTCAAACCGAAGAAAGCCCTTCAACAAAGTTGAAGAGGGGCTCAAAAAAAGACACTTTACAGTTTACATTAAGCCACAAAACAGCTCACAAATAAGCCTAAAATACCATGCAAAAAAAGGCCTAAAAGAGAGTTAAAGAGGCAAGTGGTAGCTGCTGGCCTCAAACTGAAGAGAGCCCTTCAACAAAGTTGAAGAGGGGCTCAAAAAAAGACATTTTACAGTTTATATCAAGCCAAAAATAGCTCACAAATAAGCCTAAAATACCATGCAAAAATAGGCCTAAAAGAGAGTTAAAGGGGCAAGTGATAGTAGGAGATCTCAAACTGAAGAGAGCCCTTCAACAAAGTTGAAGAGGGGCTCAAAAAAAGACATTTTACAGTTTATATCAAGCCAAAAATAGCTCACAAATAAGCCTAAAATACCATGCAAAAATAGGCCTAAAAGAGAGTTAAAGGGGCAAGTGATAGTAGGAGATCTCAAACTGAAGAGAGCCCTTCAATAAAGTTGAAGAGGGGCTCAAAATAAGACACTTTGTAGTTTATGACAAGCCCCGAAAATAAATACAAGT